TTTTCTAAATATTTAAAAATTCTACTTATTTTATAGTTATATTTTATAGAAATAAAATAAATAACAAATATATATTTCATAAAAAATTAAATGTGGGTTTTCCCACTTTTTAGTTTGCCAACTTTTTTGATCAACCTGAAATTAATAATTTTTCTTCATTTTCTTGGAGCTAATGCTAAACAAAAACAATCAGTTATTCATGCAGCTCTAGTTGTAAGTTAGGTCATGAGAGAAAGGGTCCAGTGCCAGATGTATTTTTTCTTGGCTATCTTCCCCAAAATATTTGATTTTGTCTTCCCAGCCTGAGTTTTACTCCTCGACTGTTTATTATTTGACACTATGCCAGTAATTGTGTTTGTAGGAGACCATGAATACACCAGAGATTATTTTCTTGCTATGTTAGCTGGATTCTTAAACAGTTTGTAGCTTTTTTGATGTTGGAGTATATTTTATTCTACTGTCTGTCTGGGATATATCAGTATTAAGATCTCAATGCCACATGCTGTGTGTAGAGATGAGATTAAGGGATGACTATGACTGTAGGTATAAGGAGCACCTGATTCCTTCCTTCTGTTTAGCCTTATTGGTTGTGTCCAAATGAGCACACACATGCGGCTTTTGGTGCCTAAAAGCTGTTTGAGGTGCCACAAACCGCAGGTGGTGCATATGCACCCATTCGCCACACTGTTAATTTGCAGCATGGTGGCTTATTTTGACACCAGGAAATCCTGGTATAAAAAAAACCCTGCTGCTAAAAAAATGGTGTGGAACACATTGTAGCAGTGTGCGCCACCAGAAACACTGGCCAGCTAGAGCTATTCTCCGGCTGCCAGCCAGTTCGGCACTGCTGTTACCCCAGAAGGCCCCCAGGACCTCAGGTAAGGCTGCTGGGGCCAGCACAGGTGCTGCCCCAGCCTTCCCTACCCAACCTGGGGCCAACTTGCCATGTGCTGGAGTGCATGTGCAGGGGCATGACCTGGACAAAAAGCAGCAACACAAATATATACTGCTGGTATTTGTCCATGGAAAATGTGTGCCCCTGCAAGTGTGCACTTGTCTGGACATGCCCACTGTGTCCTGAGAATTAATTGTAGCTTTGAGGTATGTGTCCATTTTAGATTTTGAATGAACTTGACATTTTTGGAAGCTTGATGTCAATGGAGAAGTTTTTAAAATGGTATTAACCATTAATTTTCTCTAATGTTAAACCTACCTTGGTATTGAAAAGTCAATCAATCAAAAATTATTATTATTAAAATGCCGACGCTATAATCTTTAGCCCATCTCTGAAGCATTTCACGTCTTAAACATGCTGTACAAACATAACTCTGACAAGTCTCTTGTGTAGGTGAATATTACCTGGATTCCTACCTTGTCTGTTAATCTGGACAGATATTCAGAAGCTCTCAGCTAATCTGATTTTGAATGAACAGTGATTGTACTGGGTTGTCCACATAGATTATTTTTATGCAAACATTATTTAGAATTTTGCTATCAAGATATATGATCTATTCCTGTTTCTTAAATTGAAGACAGTTACTATTGTAAACTGAGGCATACCAGCTGACTTTGCTTCAACTTCTCTGGCTTTTATAGTGAAACTAGCCAATTGTCCTTCAAGAATGATTGGGGGCGGGGGGAGGGAGCAGGTGGGGATGGAGCCCTAGGCCACCCCTGTCCGGGCCCACTCCCCCTTCCCTCCTGCTGCTTCAGGGTTGGGCCCCTTCCCCCCACCCTACTGCAGTGGCAGGGGGAAGGGAGGAGTGGGCCCAGGCCCGATGTGGGGGAGGACTGGGTCTGAGGGTGGGGAGAAGCTGGGCTACTGCAGTGGTGAGCAGGGAGGAGCAGTGGGCCCGGGCTGACCAAGCGGTGGAGGCAGGGGAGCGGGAGGAGCAGGCTTGGGGCCAATGTGGGGGTGTGGGGGTGAGGGAGGAGCGGGCCCAGGCCTGACGGGGGGAGGAGGTTTGCTCCTCCCTTCCCCTGCAGCTTCTGTGTTGGGCCGGACCAGGCCAGGCTGGGCCTGCTGTCTTCCCCCCCACTGCTGCAGCAGGCTGGCTTTTCCCTCGGGTTGGGCCCACTCCTTCCCTGGGCCCACCATCACCACTGATGCCACAGCGTGCCCAGCTCCTCTCCCCCTCATCAGGCCCACTTGGGGATGGGAGGAGTGGGCTTGGGGACGATGCAGGGGAGGGGGGCGGGGAAGGAGTGGGCTGGGTCCAAGTGGGGGAGTAGGCCCACTCTTTTCCTCCCCCAGCTGCTGCTGTGGCCATGTCGGGCCGGGCCCACTGTTCTGCCCCCTTGCTGTGGCACGCCGGCTTTTCCCCTGCTTGGGACTGCTCCCCCTGACCCTGTGTTGGACCTGGGCCTGCTCCCTCCCCCTACCCTGCATTGCGCCCAGGCCTGCTCTGCCACCCGTGTTACTTGCAGGGAGCAGGGCAGGAGGGGGGAAGGCGAGGCCAGCCCTGCTGGTCTCGTCTTCCCCTTCTGTCCGCTCTTTTGCCACCACCTCCAGGGAGTGGGGCAAGGGGGCGTGGCCAGCTGCACTGGCCTTGCCACCCCCACCCGTCTCCTTTGTCCCCACCATCATGGTGGGGGGTGCCTTCTGTCAGAATGCTTCTTTGCACTCTGATTGGCTGTTTGTCAGCCAATCAGAGCACAAATAAAGCATTACGGAAAGACAGAAAGACAGACAGATCTAGGCTTTTATAATATTAGAATGGTGGAGACAGCTCCACAGGATGGAAATCACGTGTATCCTTTTTCTCTATCTTTGCTTTAAAACTACAGATATGCCCAATAAGTAAAAAACCTACAGGTGCCAGCACAGGCAAAAGCACAGGTGTAAGTATGAGGAATGTTATGATGGTTTCTATTGGCCAGTTAGGATGGCTCTTCAAGGTACCATCTGGAATCCTTGAAACAGTCTGCTCATGGAATCCCAGCAGACCTCCGTATAGATCACTGTACTTTTGCTTTGCTTCATTAGAAAAAAAACAAAAGCTGTGCTCTAACTTGAGTATAAAACAAACAGTTCTAAATATCTCTTATATTTTAATGTAATTATCTCTGATAAACAGTGTAAGTTGCACATCTCTAAGAATTGTGTGAATCACTGCAAGTCGAAAGGTTGTGAAAACTGTACTAAACATTACAATCATAGTGGTTACAAACTCAAACAATAGCTTCAACATTAAAGCAGAACTGTGTTTTTTATTATTATGCAGTTGTAAACGTCTGCATTCAGAGAGCTGCAAACATTACCCAGTGATTCAGCAAATGAAAAGAAGAGAACATGCAGTACAACAGTATAGAAGAAGGAACCAGTTTACGTTTCAGTTGGGTCTGGGAACTTTATACTGTGGTGTGTTTATATTTTTCCATTAAAGAATTCCAGCTGGAGCTGTAAAATTCGTCATCATGGGATGTATTCCAGTCAAAGGTTCTCTGAACACATCAGAACTTTGTATAAAAATGTTGGACAGAAACTACTTCAATTACTACAGATACTTGAAGGATTAGCGATTCACCTACATCTCTAACACTCAAAGCTGGACAATCGCATGCAGTGTTTGAAAAATCATCTTAATTTTGCTAATCTCAACCATCTGAAAATCTGCCCTATGAATTTAAGGTTTAAGAACACATCTTATCAAAAATGAAATAATCTCTGACTTTAAATGAAGGGTTCTGCAAAGCTGTTTTACAGTAACAATTAAGACTGAACTCTTAGCACTTATCTCAAAGACAAGCATTGACTGTACAGACCAGCAGTATAAACATGACTCATGGAAAATACATATTTTATGTCAACACAAAAAACTTATTCACATAAAATATACACTGAAAATGTTCATAATACACAGAACAGAAATGTCTTGTATTTGAATCGGGTTTTTTTTACTATTAAAAAGCCCTATCCTGTTGCATATACCATAATATTTTAAGAATAGTAGTATAACCATTGTAACCACTACATTAATAACAGGATATTCAAGCAAACTTTCAATTGTAAAGTGTTGCTTAAATTTGCAAATAATTTGATTTGAATTCTGAACTACATTAACTCATTTTTTTAAGGATATATGAAGTTAACCATAATTACTGCTTAAGAAATCACATTGATCTGCCTGCCCTTTCCTTCAATAGTTATTCTAATTTATTCTAATAAGAATAAATTTTGAGCACATAACAGTGATTGCCATTAAAATGTCAGCGTTTGTCAACAGCTGCGCCACAGTGGTGCCTGTCTAATGTGCTGTAGTTTGTCTATATACTTGGAATAGAAAATAACCATGGAAACATAGTGATTGTTGGCTTTTTAATGTCTATCTTTGCACCTCCCCAGGCCACCATTTACAGAACTAAATAACACATCAAGAAACATATGAATAAAGATGTGTTTATATGAAACATTAAACATATTAAGTACTTTTAAGGATTAAACCTGCTATGGCAAAACTTCAAGAAAAAGAAAATGGTGAAGTAAATATAACAAAAAAACCTAAATTGTGAGGAATCATGTAACTACTATGCCATACTACAGCAACTGCCATTAAAAAGTCAGCATCAACCAAGTGCTAAAACGCATTGGTATCTAAGATACCAAAATAATTTCCTATTTTAAGTATGAGGAAAAATAGTAGTATCTCAGATACTACTGTGAAATGCCTCTTACTGCCTACTGACTTCAAATGGCAACAGCAGATCTTTCACTGCCAAGCTGCAGAAGAGCTATTAGCAATGAAGCACAGCAATTCTCAAGAGCACAAAAACAAAATCATGTGCTGTATTAGTACCTTCTTATAGGAATTATATCTCAAAGGGAATAAGAATCCTCTATTTTTTCCCCTCAGACTGGCTTATTTCTTCCACCTTTTTAGAGAAAACATTTAGTATTCTTTCAAAGCACACATAAGCCTATTACCCTCTTTAGGATGAGATATGGTTAATCATACTTAAAGTTTCTGTGAAATAGTGCGGTATCCATAAGTTTCACTTACCAGAATGAAGAGGCAACGAGATGCAAGTTTTGTGTGCTCAGGGATGGTAGAAAACACTGACAAAATCAAGCAACCAAATACAAGGAGAAAACTGGAAAAGAAAACAACATTGAAAATGTTAATGTTGAATATGCAGATCAATATATGCATTGATCATACATTTCATAAATGGTAGCATTTAATGAAGGTGGACTAAATTATATTTTTAAATAATTTTTGATAGAATTAGATACTTTTAGACTTACAAACTTCTAAATGGCAGTAGAATAAAAAGTAATAGAATTAACATATTTTCCAGTTAATCAGATGTGCTTGTGTATAAGCCACCCACTCCAAAAAAGGTTACATTATGAGAAAAAGTTTTTAATACACTTAATTACATTATGGTCAAATATTATTACATGGATTTCAATTATTTTTCTGTTACAAAGCTTTGGCATGTTGCACCTTTAATTTTAGACCTTATTTTTTGAAAAACAAAAACAACCCCCTATGTCATATGCACCAAAAATTATGATAAAGAAGAAATTACAACCAGTTTTTCTGATGAGAAGACCCTGAATACATTTGGGCTATATCTTGGTATCCAAATTAGAACACTTATCCAGTCCAAACCAGCTTTAGGTAATTCTGTACAAAGACCATCAATAGTTGAAATCTCTCTGCAGTCCAAAAAATCACTTCCCTTTGATAGTGTTTCTGTTGCTGCATAAGGTTAAGACCAAGATGCAGAATGTGTTTCATTGTTTCCATAATTGGTTTAGTTCTTTATTGTAATACATTTTTTATATTAAGGGTTTTTTAGGGACCTCAGCAGCATGGAATAAAGTCACATTTAGGTGCCTAAATGGTGAAATAGGATCTGGCCTCTATTTTCTACCACTCATTTTGTACAAACCATCCACTGGCTACAGTCTTCAGTTACTCTCAGCACAAGAACAGATCTTTTGAAATGAAAGATGTGTAACATTTTAGATGCTTGTCTTATGGTACTGTGTTAATAGTATCCATAACCTCAACATTCCCTTAATAACTTTCTGTGAACATTTGTAAGTTACATTGTACCATGACAAGCTGGAACAAAGGGCCAGACTCTAAGACACTGTATAGGGATGCAGTTTTTCCTTATGGACTCTTCCTGGTATCAGGTGATATAGCACTCTGCATAAAGATACATTGCTATTAATGCTGAGCTATGAAGGTGGGTGAAATTCAGTCAGTTCCCCTTGGATATGAGAGGGACTGCAGCCTTTGTGGGTGCTTCTATAGGTGATGCTAAGGCACTGTAGCGATGCGCTACAGCGACGTAGAAGTGGCGGGCACAAACCATGATGTCGACGCTCTGAAGCCATAGCGACAAGCTACCTCACTATAGCGTGTTGCTATGGCAACATACTGCTAAAAATAACTGTGTGCTGCTGGGATGGCACAGTAATGACTGTTACTGTCCTGTCATTTAGTACTTCCTAAAGCAAATACTAAATGCTGGTACAGTAACAACTGCACTGTGGGGGGCATGTATAGATGCACCCCTTGAGAGGCAGAAGGAAACAGGGGCTGGGCCACAGAAACCTCTCTTGAGAAACTGTGAAAAAAATTAACCTTAGTAGGTAGTTTACAGTGAGGGAATATACCTTTTTATTGTTGATAGAGTCATAAATAAAGGGAACAAAAATATTTTGGACTATATAGAATATAGACATACTCTTGAAAAGCTGTGATTCAATTAGCCTGTGCATTCAATACTGTTATTCAGGAGCAGTGATTCTCAATTAGGGTGCTGTAGCACCCTGGGTGACGTGAAATCCTTTTAAGGGTGCTGCAAGTTGCCATGTAAGATTAGCAGTGTTAGGTGTCCAAACACCTATTCATGATTCACAAGATAAACCCAGAGATGTCCAGTACAAATCCATAGTGTCCAAAATATTCTGATATGTTGTGGTCTTTGTGCATTTTTTGCTACAGAGGAACTGCTCTATTATTTTTCTATAGTCAAAAAATCAGTGTAGGCTAAGAGCTTAAATTATCTGAGGGGTGTTTTGAATCTAATGAGGTGTGCCTTGAGTCTAAAAAGGTTGAAAACCACTATTCTAAAGAACTAGAGATGTAGCATATAAACATTAACAATTTTCCTCTCATGCTGAAAGCAGTTTTTGCTAACCATTTCACTGCTCTTCTACTCCAGCATCCTCTGTTTATGATGAGCCAGAATTCCATTGAGATACCAGTGCTGTATTGTAATGTAGCTGATACACTAAACCTCAGTGCAAGCGCATTTCTTCAGAATTATTATTATTAGGAAAGAAAACCTTATGGGCAAGCATGATACATTTGTTCTTCAATGATAAAGAAGCCCTTTTGACAACATTTCAGTTGTACACTGAAAACAAATCCTACTTTGAGGACAATTCTGACAACAATGGCGCGCACACTGTTTTCTGGAATATGAAAAAGGCAAAATATTCAAAAAGTAATAGAGTTTTATGATGTTCAGAAATGAAAAGCAGCCAATTTCACTGCCAACAGAAAGTTTTACAATCTCCATAAACCCCATTCCCCTATCAATACAATATATAGTTAAAGCTTCACAAAGTTGTACTCAAGTAACAATAATCCAACTTGTGACCAAGTTGTCTCTTTTAGATAAATCTCTCAGTGACATCAATAGGATTGTTGCCCCAGTAAGGACTTCAGATAAGAACTCACTGTAATTATACCCTACAATTGGCAAGCCTACGAGCTGAGATGCATGAGCACTAGTTCTCTTGTCTAAGATAGAAGGCAGGAGGCAGAGCAGGGTGGAACCTTATGCTAAGTACAGAGGTTCAAAAGCCCAAGGTGGAATGGATCAAACTTACGTGTGTTTCTGTAAATGGTGTAGGTTAGTTCAGGAGTGAACAGAACACATGTATGCCCTTGGGTGGAGTGGAGGTGGACAAGTAGGCTGAGGCCACAGGTTGGTGGTATTCTTGCATGCCTCCCAGTGGACTCCCCAGGCTGCCAGAGACTGCTGAATGCAGCCAAGTGCAGCCGAGTGGCCAGGCCACCTTTGATTGGCTGCCAGGCACAGGAGAGCATGCCTCCTCCTCTCCTCCCCCATCATTGTCTGCAACAGGCATCTGTCAGCTGCAGGCAGCTTGCCAGTCCCATCCCCTGCAGTCTCGTTGCGCTCCCTGGGGCTGCACCTGTGCTCATGGGAGGCACAGGAGTCCTTGGGTGGGTTCCTGCACACCCACCCATGGATTCCCATGCCCCTGTAAGTGGGCACAGCCCCAGGTAGCATAACTGGGTTGCGTGGCATGGCCGAGCAACCCTTCCCTCCTTCCCCCCGTCATCTTCAGTTACTGTGCTGATATGGCTCTGTGAGGGCCCTGGGGGCAGGGTCGGCTCAGCACTCAAGTGAAGCAATGGAGCACAGGGCAAGTGATGGCTAGCTAGGGGCTGTAAAGGCACCTGGGATGCTGGTGGGCAGTGACCTAACATGATTCAATAACCAAAATCGATTTAAGTTTGAGAGCAAATTGATCTAGGTCTATCTTAGAACAGGTTCTGCCATTCTTAAATCAGTCAATGTGCACCAAACTTCTACGTTGTTATGAGTTTAGACCAATTTCTGAGCACTTATATTGGTAAAAGTATAATGTCTGTAGCTGACCTTAGAGTCTAACCCATTCAGAAAAGCGTAAGCTTTTGTAGGTGACAGACAGGCAAAACAACATGGACTGAGGATTTGTAGGAGGATGTGATGTCTATCTGCTAACTTTTTCTAGTCATGAGCCAGCTATGCTCTAAAAGTGCACTTTGCTGTATACATACAATATATATGTTGGAAATTATTTTAATTTATTTGTATTACAGCAGTACTAATCAGAACTGGGGCCCTGCAGCAGTAAGTATTGGACAAACACACAGAAGACACCTTGTTTGGAGTAGGTTACAGTATAAAAGAATAAGACAGACAAAAGGGTAGGAGCAGAAACGATGCATGCCCCCTGTGGCTGGGGGGGCATGGTGGCGGTGGGAGCATGGTGTCAGTAAGTGGGGGAGCTTCCGCAGATGCCACCAGTGCTGTCAATGGCGGGGGGTGGCGAC